GGGGAGTATAGAAGCATGCTATATATACTCTGGTATCCTCAGGTCTTCTTCTATGGGTGCCGTTGAAGCTGGGTGCCAAGCTCTCATCAAAAAATTGCAACTTTATTCCATTAGGGTCAGAGTACATTCAAATGGAGTAGCCAACGCGTTTCAGGGGTCCAAAACACACCCCCTTCATCAGGGCTTAATGAGAGAAATAATGTATGTGGACTACAATCCCTGCAGCGTGAAAGTTGTATCGAGCTCTGATGGGAGGACTTCAGACTTGTCAGCAGCTGTTTTGGGATGGTCAGAAAGGAACAGGAAGTGAATCTTCATGAGGGGTTACTGGCAGGATCACCAGCGGGTATTTTTCTGCGTTTTACTACTTTTGCAAACATATAATTTGTTACCGGGTGTATTGTGAGAGACGAAACGAACGATTGATTTATAAGTTGACATACACTTAATGAAAAGAGCAGGCCGGGCTTCCCGATCCCACCACCACGAGCCCCCTACAGAACGAGGGAAGGGTTAGCTAGTTACACAGAATCATGTAACCTTGCAATGCAGACCCACAGAAAGGCTTTGGGCTCCCTGTCTGGGATCAGGGAAGCAGCGGTACCTTGTTGCGTTGTTTTCTGGGCAGAATTGATGATCAGTTTTACCTTTTTTGTATAAAGTATTCATTTCATATTCTGTGATCAGAAACCTCAGACAGAAGAGAAGACCGGCGAGACGGGAGCTGAGAGTACAGCCGGGGAACCAATCGGAACAGAACACACAGACCCTCCGACCTCCCCTGAACCTGCGCAGCCTCCGAATACACCAGATGGCAGCACTGGAAGTGTCTCCCCAGGTAATTCAGTGCCGGGGATAATATGGAATCTTATGGACACGTGTGAGTGTTTTATATACCCGGATTCTGTTTCTGCTACTTATTGATGTGCACGGGAACCAGAATTGCCCTCGCCGTGTGCGGGGGGTGATTCCAGCTTCCCTGCCAGTGATTGGGCGTTTCTCTCGATTTAGCGATTCACTGGAAGTGATTACAGAATAGGACGTTCCCAGGATCAGTCCGAACACACAATTCATTGTCTGGTTCTCTATAAAGGTTTTTCTGTGCAGCAAAGAGGCTGAATTTTGTTTTACACTCAACTGGACGTGTTTATTTGTTTGTTACAGGTATTTATAGAGCGCTGACAATTTACACAGTGCACATTCACATCAGTCCCCGCCCTCGGGGAGCTGACAATGTAAGGTCCCTATCTCGCATACATACATACATTCATTTCATTCATTCATACAGGGCCAATAGACAGGAGCCAGTTAACCTTCCAGCATGTCTTTGGAGCAGTGACGTGCGGTAACTTTTGGTTCTGAGTGAGGCATTCCCCAGCACCTGCCCCCCCCCAGCCCGATGAAGCCCCGCCCCCAACCCCATCCCCCAATGCTAGTGTGAAGGAGGAGATAGGGAGGAGCCTCCCTATCCCTCAATTGCTCGTCAATGGCGAGGCATCGAGCTTGATGGCCTCAGTGTGTTTTTTTGTTTTTTTTTTGATTGGACAACTTGGACCAATGACGCTTTGCTATTGGTCCAAGCCATCCACAGAGATCACGCCAACACAGATTAGAGGCTGTGACATTTCTGGCCTCACTATTTAGGTTACACAAGCAGTGGGGAAGCCCGTCGCTGTGTAACCTAACTACCTGTCAAAAGCCGGATGCAGCGCTGCCTGTAATTAACATCCAGCGCTCCGTCCATGACAGGTTACACAGCAGTGGGGGGGGGGGATTTCCCTGCTGTGTAACCTGTTACATGCCGCTCTGAATGGAGAAAAAGTGGTCAGTTTCGGAATTGAAGCTTGCCGCTTTCTCCTCCATAATACTAGGTCCCTCCCCTGACCGCACGTCCCTGCTTTTGGAGTGTGGGAGGAAACCGGAGTACCCGGAGGAAACGCACACAAGCTCCTTGCATATGGTGTCCTGATCAGGATTTGAACCGGGGGCCCCTAGTTCTGCAAGGCAAGAGTGCTCACGACTACGCAACTGTGCTGCCCCTGATTGTAATGTTTAAGACTTTTCCTAGCTTCTCCGAGCCACTTCTTCAGTGCTAATGAGCGTCGGGGACATACCCCTGAATATAGATCCACACGGGTGGCACAGACGCCTTCATCCGGACGCTATAGAATATATAGATGGTGATTGTCCAAGAACGGTGTGTGAGAGTTGTGTAACCGCCATGTCCTGGTTCCATAATCCCATCCTTGGTGTCGGGAAGTCTATATAGGTGATAATCCTTCAATCTGCACGGCGGAAGGCATGAGATGACAAATCGCCAGGATAGAGATATTATAATGGCGTTTATATATGGAAGACGGATGCTGTCCAATGCCCCCCACTCCTGTTCAGGGATGGCTCTGTAAATAGCCCATGTTATGCCTCTTGCTGCCCAGTTGGCCTCTTTGTCCGAAATGTGTACAGAGTGATCAGCTGGTTCACAGGGGTTTGATAGAGGCCATCTACGTCATACCGGAACAACCAATCCCTCAACAGGGCTGGAGGCCTTCAACTCCATGTGTCTTCCACATATAATGCGGTTTACCATCTCTACCTCCCGGTGATTGGACAGCAAGTCACACCTTCAGCCGTGTGAGTAGAAAGAGTAACACCTATGTAGACTTCCTGACGCCAAGGATGGGTTCATGGAGCTAGAACGAGAGGTTTCCACAACTCTCACCCCTCCCGTCCCTGTTCTTGGACAACCAGCATTTGCCTTGGCACATTCCATGGTGAATGAATGAAGGTGTCCGTGTTACCGGTGTGGATATAAAAGGTTGAGATATGTTGCAGACACTCATAAGGCTGGGTTCACACCTAGGCGTATTGAATATGAGCGTTTGTCGTCGCACGTTTTTACCGCGATTTGCGGTAAAAAAAACGCGCGACAAACGCCCGTTTCCGAGGGCTACTTGGCTGTATCCCAATGGAAATGCGAGACCAAAACGCCCCAAAGAAGTACATGTACTTCTTTGGGCGTAGGCCGTTTTTTGTATCGCGTTCGGACGGGCGGAAATACGGCAAGGTGTGAACCAGACCCATTGAATACAATGGGATTTAGATGTTTGAGCGTTTTGTAGAGCGTTCGTCGAGCGTTGAACGCGCTACAAAACGTTCAGGTGTGAACCAGACCTTTAGAGTTGAAGAACTGGTTTGGAGAAGCTACGAAACATCTTCAACAATACAGAACAAGTCCAGATGAATGTGGAGGACTTCTCCGAGCTCTTCCATGACCTGGATAACTGAGAACCTTCACAGACAATATTTCTGACATCTCTTTAACATTTTCCAGGCATTTGCTGACACTTTCATTGGGTTTGAAAAGTCTTCTGGTTGGGAAGAACAAGCCTTTCCGGTGGGGAGGTCTCTGAAGTCTGAGATATAAGAAGTCGGCTTATTCATTGTTCACATTGCCAGAAACTTCACAACACTGAAGTGCAGCGGGTGAAATGACTTGCTAATGGTTCTCTCTCTCTTTTTTTCAGCCGCAGTGAAGCAATCTGTATTTATACCTCCCCCAGGCCTGACAGACCACGGACAGTCTAACCCGGAAGATGTGGACATGTACAGCACCAGAACCTGAATATCGCACTAAAGTAGATAATTTATATATGAGAGCAAAGCAGCATTTTCTGCCAGAACATTTTTTTTGTAACCTGCCAATTATGGATGTCCCCGGGGTCTTCACCATGTACGGACCTCCCCGGGGTCTTCACCATGTACGGACCTCCCCGGGGTCTTCACCATGTACGGACCTCCCCGGGGTCTTCACCATGTACGGACCTCCCCGGGGTCTTCACCATGTACGGACCTCCCCGGGGTCTTCACCATGTACGGACCTCCCCGGGGTCTTCACCATGTACGGACCTCCCCGGGGTCTTCACCATGTACGGAGCTCCCGGGGTCTTCACCATGTACGGAGCTCCCCGGGGTCTTCACCATGTACGGAGCTCCCCGGGGTCTTCACCATGTACGGAGCTCCCCGGGGTCTTCACCATGTACGGACCCCCCGGGGTCTTCACCATGTACGGACCCCCCGGGGTCTTCACCATGTACGGACCCCCCGGGGTCTTCACCATGTACGGACCCCCCGGGGTCTTCACCATGTACGGACCCCCCGGGGTCTTCACCATGTACGGACCCCCCGGGGTCTTCACCATGTACGGACCCCCCGGGGTCTTCACCATGTACGGACCCCCCGGGGTCTTCACCATGTACGGACCCCCCGGGGTCTTCACCATGTACGGAGCTCTCCGGGGGTCTTCACCAAGTACAGAGCTCCCCGGGGTCTTCACCAAGTACAGAGCTCCCCGGGGTCTTCACCAAGTACAGAGCTCCCCGGTGTCTTCACCAAGTACAGAGCTCCCCGGTGTCTTCACCAAGTACAGAGCTCCCCGGTGTCTTCACCAAGTACAGAGCTCCCCGGTGTCTTCACCAAGTACAGAGCTCCCCGGTGTCTTCACCAAGTACAGAGCTCCCCGGTGTCTTCACCAAGTACAGAGCTCCCCGGTGTCTTCACCAAGTACAGAGCTCCCCGGTGTCTTCACCAAGTACAGAGCTCCCCGGTGTCTTCACCAAGTACAGAGCTCCCCGGTGTCTTCACCAAGTACAGAGCTCCCCGGTGTCTTCACCAAGTACAGAGCTCCCCGGTGTCTTCACCAAGTACAGAGCTCCCCGGTGTCTTCACCAAGTACAGAGCTCCCCGGTGTCTTCACCAAGTACAGAGCTCCCCGGTGTCTTCACCAAGTACAGAGCTCCCCGTGGTCTTCACCAAGTACAGAGCTCCCCGTGGTCTTCACCAAGTACAGAGCTCTCCGGGGTCTTCACCAAGTACGGACCTCTCCGGGGTCTTCAAGTACAGAGCTCTCCGTGGTCTTCAAGTACGGACCTCTCGAGTCTTCACCAAGTATTAACCTCTCCGGGGCCTTCACCAAGTACAGACCTCTCCGGGGCCTTCACCAAGTACAGACCTCTCCGGAGTCTTCACCAAATATGGAGCTCTGTGGGGTCTTCACCAAGTGCGGAGCTCCCCGGGGTCTTCACCAAGTGCGGAGTGCTCCGAAATCTTCACCAAGCGCGGAGCTCTCTGGGGTCTTCATCATGTACAGAGCTCTCCGGGATCTTTACTAACTCATGTTTGATAAAATAAAAAGCTAAATTGTTTCTCATGTAAGTGGTATCTTGTCCTGCTGGAGAAGTAATGAAGAGGCTCACAGGCCCATTAGATTTTCTCCTCCACGCTCCCCATATATATTAGGGTTGCAACAACTAATCGACCAAGTCGATTATAATCGATTGATGGAAAACTTTGTAAACGTTTTCCATCATCGATTAGTTGACTTTCGATTAGTTGGCCTGCAAAAGCCTTTTTTTTTTTGTTATCCGATTAATCGAACTCCGTGATTGGCTAACTAATCGATTTTTAAAATAATCGTTAGCTGCAGCCCTAATATATATCTCGCAACAGAGAACGCACCTCTCACTGATGACGCCTGCATTTCAGTAGAGCTCGATTGTTACAGAAAACACACAAAGAAGACCTGTCCGGGAACTAGACATGTGCGATTTCGTTACGAATCGAAATTCGTACCAATCTCCTGAAATTCGGAAGCATCTGAATTGCAGTTTACGAATTATATCCGAAATTCCGTTAACGAATTTCGGATCCGAAAGTCGTCACAGAGGTTGAACAACATGACAAGATTTTTTTTTTTAATACGAAATTCGGATCCGCTGCTGCTGAGAGTCGCATTACAATACACAGGCAGGAAATACGAAATTCCGTTGACGTATTTTCGTTCCGTTACGGACATTCGTTATGATGAAGTTAAAAAGCAAAAATACCTTTTGTTAATATATTGGAGTTGATGGTAGGTTGTTTTTTTTTTATACGAAATTCGGATCCGAAATCCGTTAACGGAATTTCATAATTCGGATTTCGGATGCTTCCGAATCTACGAATTTCAGGATATTTCGGATAAAAAAAACAACTACCATCGACTCCAATATTAACAAAGGTATTTTTGCTTTTTAACTTCATCATAACGAATGTTCGTAAAGTTACGAAAATGTGACGAAACTAACGAAAATCCGTATTTCGTACGAATCCGAATTGAGTTTCAGACACGAAATACGAAAAATAACGGATATTCCGAAACTAAACACATTTTCTGACGGCGCACAAGTCTACTGGGAACCTCCCCACTCTGACGCGGCTTAACAGACATTGTTTTCTGGTGAAATGTGTCAGCGTGCGGAGGTTCCCAGACTCTGGGGCCTCTTTTGTGCATGTTTTCCAGGACAATAAAGTTCTATTGAAATGCTGAGGTCACCGACGTGCAGCCAGTTCTTTGCTGGGAGATATTATCCTGCTAACGGTTTGTGGTGTCACGTTAGAGCTCTCCCGGGATCCATGATACGTTTACACTGTAATTATGAACTTGTACTGGGCGTAGGGAGAGACCGAATGAAGATTTCAAAGACTGTCGGGTTATACTGCCGCCTACAGGAGGATTTGGACACTGGCAAACAAAATAAAAAGTGACCAGCCCGGTATCATTCCTCCGACTCCCAGCATGCCTCAGTTTTTTCGCTCGTGCTCCAGGAGGATAGATGCCTTTTCTCTGACAGTGAAGCCCAGGTTGTCCCCGGCATGGCGGCTCAGGAATGCAGCACTGGAGTTGTGGAAGTCCGTCCTTCCGTCCAACGTACTAGAAGAGCCTAATGACCAACGGCAGCCTTGTCCTTGCAAGGGACATAGGAGGACCCCGATCAACATTCTGGAGCTTCAGGCCATTTGGTTGCCTCTGTGAACCGGACCCCCTGACTGAGGGGGAGGGGTCATGGATCAGGATTCAGTCAGACAATGCCACATCAATGGCATGCAGAAACCACCAGAGAGGGACCAGAAGTCTTGCCTGTCAGACGGGTAGAAAGAATTCTGTCCTCGGAAGAACTCCATGTTGTAGACTTCCGATGTTTAGGGTTGGCAGGCAGATTCCCTTAGGCAGCAGCTCCTGGAACCTGAGGAATGTTCCCTTCACCCAGAGGTGTTCATGGACCTGTGTTACCGGTGGGGGGAGCTGCGTGTAGACCTCCTGACCTCCAAGTTCAACTACATACTGAACAGGATTGTCTCCAGGTGCAGAGATCCTCCGGCAGAAGCAATGGATGCTCCAGGGGCTCCATGGGATCAGTTCCATCTAACGTAGACTTCCCTAAGAACCTCCTTTGCTCCTCCAGGATGAAGGGCATTCCAGTGATCCTCATACGTCCAGACTAATGTGATACTCCGACCTGATCACCTGACCTGGCAGACGCTCCATAGGCTCTGTTAGCTCGATCTTCGGTCCCAAGTTCCGGTTTACCCCCCTCGTTCACAATCATTGGACTTGCCTGTTGAAGCCCAGGTCTTGGGGGGATAGGGGCCTCTTGATAGGCAGAGCCGGCTGTCAATCACGCAGCTGGGTGGATCTGGACAGTAATGTCGGCGGTCTCAGTATACTGAGCTTAGGGTGACGGGAGGACGCTAGTTTGTGTCCTCCCGTGACCCTGAGGAGAACTATGGGGAAAAACCCTGACCCCATAGTTCTCCTTTAAGGACCGGGGGCCACGCTTTCCTGTCACGGTGCGCTCCACTAGATCTGTGAGCGCTCCATGTTCAGCTCTCATCTGATGCAAGTTTAGGGTATAAGGTCCTTCAGGTGGCTCTTTGAGCTGCAGGTGATCCCCAGTTTTGTTGGGGGGTTATGTGAGCTGCTCCCCACCCCCGCAGTGAGACTGTTTTTGGATTTCCAAACGGTCTCCAAATTCCTGCGGTGTCGCGTACCTTTTCGGAGCCACAAGCGAC